GGGCGGATTTAGACCGTTGCAACTGTAGCATATGCTACGGTCAGAGTTTCCATAGGCCAGTTCTAACATGGATCATAAAATCAATCTAAAATATAATTTAGCAATATTTTGTTTACTTTCCTTGTTTATATTTCAAGGTTTTATTTTAGTTAGTTTTATATGTTCTAAAACATTTTATTTTGACAAATTGATGACATTTATAATACGTAACGTTAATTGTTTTAAGAATTCCCGCCCGAAAATACGGTTGTAATTGCCTGTTTGCGGGTCATTACGCAATGGACTATAGCTTAGAAAATATCATCCTTCAGAAATACACCGTAGCGTGTTGCCCATATATGATCAATTTTCGCTACGGTCAGATTCATTAAGGTAGAATCTGACCGTAGCGAAAATTGGCATATACGGCATTCTGATTGGTTTGCTACGGTCAAACGTAGCAAACCAATCGGAATGGGGCAAATGCTATAGTTTGCTACGGTGGCATGAAATTGTCTACTGCTCCAGAACGATGGAATATCTGATATTTGTGTTTGGCTCATCAACAACATGCTATTGGGAACCCACAGTACGGTTGTGCGCATTTCGAAATGAAAGCCGTCGTAAAGCTAAAGGATTTATATGCGTCGAGGTAGAAATAAAATCAGATAGTAAAACGAATCATTTCCAGTCAGGTAAGTCTTATGAATGATAAGAGATGCACATTATATTTTAATTTGAGTTTTTACTGTATAGTGTTCGCTATTAACTTCGCTTTATTAAAGTGTTTGTGCGCGTATGTACAGTATACCTGCATGTATTGAAATTAATACGCGAATTATATTATGATACGCGCGTATATATATCGTGTTTTATAGCGCGCTAATATTTGTTTGTAATGCGTACTATATATTCGTAAGATACGCGTATTCATATCATAATACGCGCGTTCATATGATATGCGTATTCGTATGATACACGCGTTCGTAGATGATACGCGCATTTCGGTATTCAAGTGATAATGATATGCGTATGATACGAGTATCATACCGATATCGTATGTTAAAATATACGCGAGCAATAGTTTACATTTTGAGATCATTTCGGCTTATTTTTGTTTGAGAAATGAATACAATGAGGGCAAATTTAATGGTCACATGCAGTGCTCAGAACGCAGGAAATTGCATTTCCGGGCTTCAAATTTCAAAAATTTTCCGGGGGGGCATGCCCCCGGACCCCCCTAGCTATGCGAGGTCTTGGAAAATGCTACGGTCAGATTTTTGGCTGGATCCGCCCCTGTACCCTATTGAATAACTTGCACACCTGACACCACTATAAAGAAAAATGGGCCGGCCATTGCTAATGTGCCGGTTGAAAGGTAAGCATGAGCTACTAAGTGTGTTAGCTTATTTAGGTCATGAAACAAGACAATTACAAAAGTAGTAAAAGAGGACACATTAGTTGTGAATATGTTTTTTTTTGCTATCATCACGATGTTCACCCAGCATGAAATGAAAAGGTAGTGCACAACCTGTGCAGAGTCCATTTTGCATGTTGGCACACAATTTGGCATTAAAATTGTATATTGTTGATTGCTAGGGGAACAGGTGAGGACTCTGAACCCGGCATTGCTTGACGAGTAAGATACTTCCCAATTACACATACCACATGAAATATCTAAGGTTACAAGGTGGCAATATATTTGTAATACTAATTATATACAATATCTCAAATGCTCAGATGTATGGTAACAGGCTGTAACAAATGGCTTTAAATAAATTTTGGTAAATTAAATTTGTAGTGCACCCCCCCCCCCCTTTCGATTTTTACACTCCCCTGTTGGCCAAGGGTGTTTACCTCCGTCAACCCCCCTCCCCTCCCCCTATAAACCCAACTGTATGTTGGGATGGATTTACTGGGGGGGTCACCTCCCTAGCCCTGGCCAGGGGGGTGCTATTTTTCATGATAAAGCAAAAAAATATTTTAGAGACAAAATGAGATACAGTAATTTGAGTGATATCGATAACATGATAAGAAGCGAACTGTGAACAACATTACAATTCAAATACAGTAGTCAAGCAAGACTTGACCTGTAAGTTGATGGGCGGGTGGCATGCATGACCAACATAACTCGGCATTAGAGCTGGCAGATCAACCCTCCATCCCTGCCACCATGACTGTTAGTGTTGGTGCTAATTAAACAGTGCAATCTTGAATGGTCTGTGCCAGGCTAGATAGAGACGATAACAAAATAACTAGATTTAACTTAGTACCTGAAAAATTCAAACAGAACTTCACTCGAAAAGTTAATAATTTGTACATTCCGCATGGATTTTCAAGCTCTGTGGATTATGGAATATAAACTAGGCTGTTATTACAATTTTCAAAATTGAAGTTGAAAGTGTCAAAAATTTCTTATCTTGGTCAATCTATTTTTTACTTTTAAAGCATAATTCACTGAAACATATAGATATTAATTTAAACTATGTTTGAGAAAAATTCATTTATAAAATCTTTTTTCAGATTAATCAGGTAAAGAGTAAGATACCTGGCATATCAGAATATAAGTTCTACCAACCAAAAAGAATAAAAAGATCAAAAAACAACAATAGAAATTATAGAATATAACCTCCATTTAAACTCCACTCCTTAGCTTGGCGCCATATTGAATTTCGCGGTCGCGCTGGTAAAGGCCTGGGGACTAGGTGCTCTACCGTATCTGAAATAGCCTTCACCATAATTAATTAAATATTCACAGTGTTTGGCGCCAAAAGTTACTAAATCCCATCGCTCAAAAACTTTCGGAAGTTTTCGGAAACACGAAGAAAAACTTATAAACAGATGTTTAATTAACATAATTGATAAATAATGATAATTCACTCAAACATGTAAAAAATAGTGAAACCTCCTTCTGCACCAATGCACTGGGAAGCTGGAAGCACTGGGATGAATATTTAAGTTTTTCGGAAAAAATCCTTGGATTTCCTTAGATTTTTTCTCTTCCTTAGATTTTCCTTTTGGACCATAGAATTTCCTTAGAAAAGCATCTTGGGATGCAATGCATCTTGGGATGCAAACCTCAATTTTTGAGGTATATATCCCATAACTCCCCGGGCGAAAAAATTACACACTTTCGCCGGGCTGTTCTTGTCATACAGTTAACTTACATGCAATTTGTTTGCAAATTTGCTTTAGAAAACGCCAGAAATTCAGTCCTAGAGCGTCAAAAAGGTAAACATTTTCTGGGGGAGGACCCCCAGACCCGCCCCCCCCCCATGAAACTGCCAATCAATCACAAAAAGTTTTATTATATTTATTACACTTCAGGTAAATTTTTAACATTGAAATTCAAATTTCACGTAAAATCCTCCCACATCCCCTCCTCAAACCTGCCTCGTCCCTCGTCGCTTCAGTTGGGAATAGAGATGGGATGGGAGCGCGGGACTTGATGGGAATACAATGGGAGCGCGGGGCTTAATGGGAATGCGATAGAATCTGAAGCGACCTGGGCGGCCCTAACCTGTGATCGGGCGGGCTTGCTACTATAAAGCGTGTTTTCTTTATAGACCGTGTTTTCTGTAAAAGTGTGTTAGTTTAATTAAGAAGTGTGTTTTGGAAAGGTGTGTTTGTTGGTCAAGTGTGTTTCTTCTAGTTCTTCTGTGCAGTGTGTTTTTCAATTAAAGTGTGTTTACTTTCAAACTTGGGTTAATAAACACACTTTTCGCAGGAAGCGCACTCTTAAAAATAGGTGCGTTGCAAAACACACAAAAATGTGTTATATAGCACGTTAGGTGTGTTATACAACACATTTTACTCTTACAATTTCGACATAACACACCTTTGTGAGTTAAATAACACACCAGTGTGCGTTATATAACACACAGTGTTCAGTGCTTAACACACAGCGATGGAGGTAAATGTGTTAGATAACACACTTTCAGAAAAACACACCTTTTCTACTGTGTTAGTTAGCACACGCTTAACATTGTTTTTATGGCCATGCTTATCGCAAGATTCGCAACACTGTTTGCTGACAATTTTCCAACATTCTTCCCAATTTTTCAATCTAAAACTACACCATGAAAACGTTGAAGGGGCGGCCGCGGCCCCCATACCCATCTGCAGATGATGCAACTATCTGAAAATTTCAGGGCCTTCGCTCGAAACGTTGCTATTCTTTGTGTTGTATTATTCACAGATTTTGCAGGTTTTTGCTTTAAATCACCCATACATATGCCTGCAGCTTTCCCCTTTAATTTTTCTCGAATTTGGGTTCAGAACAATATTGATATACCAATCCGCACCATCGCTTTATTGTTTCATATTTCAGCGTGAGGTCCATGCACCTTTGAATTTACTATACGAGTAAATTGTTAAACACGTCCGAATTTATCAATACGTACAATAAATTCGCGACACATGTTGAGCCCTAACGCCTAACCCTAATTAACCCTAATCTATAATCTTTATTTGACACTAATCCAAATTGTTTTCGAAAATCTCGTAAGTTGCGAATTTATCGTATTGATGATTTCAAAATGTGTTTAAGATTATTTACTCGTATAGTAAATTCAAAGATGGAGCTCATGTTGCATATTTTGATCCACTATCAAATTATTTAATTTTTTATTGGATCTTATAAGCGAAGTAGTTACGCTATTTATCACGAAAACTAGGCCTACCGTAGCTACAGTTACACCCGTATGTTGAAAGATTTTCCTAGCACTAATTATTACATTACGCTGAATTTATAGTCCAAATGGACGACGTCGGATTTTCATTAATGTTGATTTCAGCGAATAGTTATATCCTTTCCAAGTTTTCCAGTTCACACCGTCTGCAAACGACTTGTGTGTGCCATGATGATAGACACCATTCAAATTCGATAAATGACAACCTCCTCTATGCATATACCACCAAGCACCTTTATATGTCCTTGCACAGTTGTTGCCAGTGTCGGCATCTTTTGTCGCGAACGCTGCACCACTTTGATAAGTGAAAGAATCTCCTGCTGTACCTATAAACAAAGTTAGTAAAATAAATGTTTATTAATTTAATCAACAATAACAATAATCGTGGAGCTTAGAAAAAATTAACGATCACTTCTATAGAGCACATTAATTTACATGTGAATATGATAAAAATTAACACGCTTTACGTCAAGTATTATACGCCTGCCTAATTATATATTTGGCCTAGACTATTTTGTCTTTATAACAGTTTTGTTTGTGGAAACACCACGTAAATTTATTACTGCAGTAATAAATTTACATTAATAATTTAATTTACAATAATAAATTTACAGTAATAATTTACAGTAATAAATTTACAGTAATAATTTTGCAGTAATAAATTTACGTGGTGTTTCCACAAACAAAACTATTATAAGTTTTATCATCATGCAAACATACAAAGAACTTATTATTTTGTCTTTGCAACAATTGTGATATTATAGTTTCGAAACTGTGTTTATCTTAACCCACCATGTCAACTTTCCTTGTGGGAGAAAACCGGGGCAGCCATAGAAAACCCACGACTTTCGACACAGCGAAATTGACTCTTTTCCGATGGGTACGTACGGAGAATCGATCCTACGGACTCCGGAGGTGAAAGATGCTTCCGTGGTTGCCCTGATGATCACACCACCATCGAAGCCCCAACAGCTTTTAAAGGGGAAAAATGTAGAAAAAAGTACCCGCATGTGCAGATCTTTTAAAAACTTTAGTTTAATTGGTACCTTAGCATTTTGCGGGCAATTGCTAGATAATATACTTCAAAATAAGGTTACCGTTTTTATATCAATTTTTAAAATAAGTTAGGGTTAGGTTAGGGCTAGTTTAGGGTTTGGGTTAGGGGTTTGGGTAAGGGCTAGTATTAGGGTTAGGGTTTAGTTTTGCGCCGGTTAGGATGGGTTTTTTCTACGTTATAAAAACGCAAACCTTATTATGAAGTATACTTCTTAGCAATCGTAGGTGATTTCGGGCTCAAAATGTTTTACTGGCAGCCATTTTGTACATGAGCCGGGTAGATCCTAGATCTGGAAGAGTGTTTTAATTTGTAATCCGTTATATTCAACCAATATACTTTTTCGATAATTACGTCACAACTACACTCACTCGTCTGTTTTCAACTTAGGAATGTGTGATACATGCATGTTGTTGCTGTATTAATTGTTGTCTTGTTTTAGAATTGTTTTGTTCGATATAATAAAACATCGTTTGGATTCGTTTTCGTCCAATAAGGTACACATTGTGAAGTTTTGTATTTGTTTTGTAACAGCTTAACAGGTGACCAACGTAATTGGCTCACCGCTTTGTGTGTTGTGTTCCTGAACCGTCTTCCTGTGTGTATATGTTTCTCATTGTGTTGATGGCTGAAGTTAATAAATAAATAAATGAATATGTAAAAAATAAGTCTTGTCTTCGATATTGACGTCTGGACTTAATATTTTGCCATACTGGGTTTCGAAGAATCTATTGGAAATAAGTTACAATCTAAAGTCGTGTTTACACTACCAGCCTTGGCCTGGCCTTGGCCTACATTTTGACAGTGAAAATGGACTTTGGTCTAGCCTTGGCCTGACCTAGGCCATGAAATCTGGGCCCACTACAACCAGTGGCTTAGGCCTGGCCTAGGCAGCTAGGCTTGTGGAAACGTAAACACTTTCGGCCCTGGCCTGGGCCTTATTTTCATGGCAACGTGGGTCCACAGTGAGAGATTAGCGGACAATCAGCGGACAACGTCACAACACATAAAAAGGCCAAAGTGAGCCAGTCTCAAAAAAATAGTGTAATGATGTAAACGCGCCACATTTACCAAGCCTGGCCAAGGCCAGGCCAAGGCTAGGCCAAGACTTGTAGTGTAAACACGACTTAATACGTATGGTTGCAGGTTTTACACATTTACCCAAATTACCTACCAACATAAGCTCCAACGCTTAATTTATACTTTTTTTGCTCATCAGCGAGACCAAACGAATCATACCATGCGTATCGCTTATTCCCAGAAGTATCCTCCATGTCAATAAGAAGCGCCGTTAGAGAAACAGCTGTTGTTAGTCTGTGCATTTTCTCCAAACCGAGCCAAAATTCCCCATCCAGATTGCCAAAACCTTGTTTGTAATCTTGCCATCCTCGGTAGAAATCAACAGTTCCATCAAAACGACGTTGAAACACAGTCCATCCTCCCCCGGACGAGGTCATATCACAGAAAACATTGAAAGTACCAAGGCCATCAGGGTCAATCTTGTACACTCCACTAGCACGTATTCCTTTCTCGAATAAATCAGCGCAGTCCTTACCTTATAGAAATTAAAATAAATCAAAATAATTATAATGCAATATAAGAATTATTATAACTTTAAAAAACGCATCATTAATAATTCATGAGGAAAAGAGAAAGGTAATCACCACTGCATCGGCGGCTTTATATGTTATAAAAATCATGTTAATTTACATATTAAGCTTTATTTAACTTTGACTTTCTCGGCTTAAAACAACGTTGGTTTTTAAAATCTCTTACCGGGGAATAACCAATAGCCAATAAATTACCTCGCAGTTCATGCTCTATCGGAGATGAAATACTCGGCTGTCGCCTCGTGTTTTATATGTGACAAAGCACTCGACTAAATCTTAGCTACTTGTGTTTAAATAGTACATAATTTCTTCAAAGAAAATATATTATGACATCAAGAATTACAAAAATGTATTTCAAATTTAATTGCTTTATAGTTACGGAGATTATGGAAAATGCGGGCATTTTCGCATTTCCCACCCCGTCTATCTAATTTTTCACAGCCCAAGACTCAATTCTCAATCCTTTAATAAAAATGTCACGCTGCCTTTTTTTGAGAAATGGAATGGGATTTTTTTCTTGTGTGGTTTCTGACACTATCATTCGACACAATTACGCATGCTTAAAGTCCTTTAATATAATCAAATAGAAATATAATGAGTGATCGACACGAAAATCTATCGCGTGGTATGATAATTAAAATCAAGCTAAGAAAGGTCGTCAAGTTTGGATTATAGGGTTAGATTATAGGGTCAGATTAAGATTAATTAGCGTTAGGGTTAGAGGTTTGAGTCGTGGTTAGAAGCGATTAGGGTTAGGATTGAACATTTCATATTGTACAAATAAATTCGGATGTGTTTAACATTTTATTTAATATAATAAATTGTGGAGCTCGCGCTAAATGAACGGCATCAATCAAGGTTTTTTATTCATTAGCATATACCATTGTTTATTAAATATAAACTATATACGGATGGGAATTCAGATTTCGTAACAGGGATTTGGAGCGAAAATAGGCTGGGAACTGGAAATTTGGACCAAAGTAAGGCTGCTACTTGGTACCCTACTTCTCGACCCTCAAAGCAAGCAATGCTATATGTTTCTGCTTGGATTCCTAGGCAATCTTTATTTCGTACAGTATGTCATTGATAAAAATTTTCATACCTTGGATTGATGTGTTTTGTGGGTTGGATGTTGATCCATCCATGGAACATTCACCTAAAAGGTAACGATTATACACTTGATAAGAATGAAGACATTTTAAATATTAAAACTATAAGGGGCGCTCATAGACTGCATAATTATATCGCCACCAGCAAATTTAAGTCAAGTATTTGCATGTATAAATTACGCAATGGCTTATCAGGCATTCTGTTTTCTCTGCCTGGCAGAGCGAAACAACTTAAGCCTTGCTAATTTCTCATTCAGTCCACATTGAACCAACATTTAACCAATTTGAGCTTGGCCTATTACCATTCGCTTTAGAACGTTTCGTATACAAATTTTTTCTGTGCTGGTGTTGTGTACTCAGGTGAATAATATGTTTGTGATGTTACTCTGAGTGCATATCCACACCGGGCGAGCTTGAAAAAT